CTAATAATAAAGGAGAACTTCCCCAATCTGGCAAAGGAAATACACTTCCAGGAAATTCAGGAAGCTCAGAGAGTCCCAAAGAACTTGGACCGAAGAAGGAACACACCAAGGCACATCAGAATTACACTAGCCAAGAGGAAAATGAAGGAGAGAATCCTAGAAGCAGCAAGAGATAAGGGGAGAGTCACCTACAAAGGAGTTCCCATCAGACTGTCAGCTGATTTCTCAAAAGATACCTTACAGGCAAGAAGGGGCTGGAAAGAAGTATTCCAAGTCATGAAATCCAAAGACCTACAACCAAGATTGCTGTATCCAGCAAAGCTTTCATTTAGAATGGAAGGGCAGATAAAGTACTTCTCAGATAAGACCAAATTCAAGAAGGTCATCATCACCAAGCCCTTATTATATAAATGTTAAAGGGTCTTATTTAAGAAAAAGAAGATAAAAAATATGAACAGTGAAAGGACAGCAAACTCACAGTTATTAACAACCACAGCTAAAACAAAAGCAAACTAAGAGGACAGCTAGATCAGGAGCAGAACCATAGAAATGAAGATCACATGGAGGGTTAGCAGCAGGGGAGTGGGAGGAGGAGAAGGGGGGAGAAAGTACAGAAAATAAGTAGCATAGACAGTAGGTAGAAAATAGATAGGGGGAGAGCAAGAATAGTAGGGGAAATATAGAATCTAAAGAACTTGAGACATGTGGTCATAAACTAAAGGGGGGAATGGTGGGGGAGGGGGTGTGCAGTGTAGAGGGGAATGAAGAGGGGAAAATAGAACAACTGTAATGGCATAATCAATAAAATATATTTTTAAAAAGAAACCATGACTTTTCATACCTGTACAAATCACCACCTGTTTATGTACACCCCACCCAATTTCAAAAGAAACTGAGCTCCACAGAGAGACCAGGTTGCCATTGCCGCTGCCACTGCTGCCATCATGCCAGCCCCTCAAACACCAAATGGTCAGGGGAGGCTAATGCTCAGTGGGCGAGAGGTCATCAAGGTCATTTCTGCTCTCACGGAGCCTGGCCTCAGTATGCCTGGGGACTGCTGGGCTGAAGCCCGAGATGGTGTATCCCATGGCCTTCTCATTAGAATTATAGAGGCTGTCACAAAGGTCTCAGCAAGGCCAGGTGATGCTCCAGAATGGCAGACATGCCAATTTGGGAGCAGAATGAATCCAGCTTTATTGAATGTGACTACCAATTATTTGATAATGACAGAAACCAACTAGGCACAATTTACATTGTCACAACATTCCTTACGCGGGAAGGACAACAACTGCAGGGGAAAGCTGCCATTGTGCAGTTGTCTAGCCTTCCTTTCCAGAAACTCCAGCACAGCATCACCATGCAGGACTGCCAGGCTACACCAGATCATCTGCTGCATCATCAGCATGGTTATGGGCCAGCTTAAGGACAATGAAGACCCCATCATGGGGTTTTACCAGACGATCCTATTAAAAAGCACCAACCAATGACATGGTCAGGCTCACTCTGCACAACTTTTGTTGACCTCCTCCCAGCCAGGCACTCATGCTGTTTCCTCCTCCTTCCGCTTCCCCATACTATTCATACTCTTCCAGATGCTCCAAATATCATACACAAATAATCAGGGCCACAGTGGAGGCGGGCACAGTTGCTGCTGCTACCTAGGTGTTGTGCATGATGTTTGGATGCTGGACTAACTGCATCTGACAGAAGTTTGTGTTGTACCAGTGCATGCCTTGGTGCAAGGAAAGACTTAAGTAATGCAAAAAGTTGTATTCTTTAAAATTTATTCAATCTTCACCTGAGGATATGTTTATGGATTTTAGAGAGAACAGAAGGAGGAGAGAAAGAGAATGAAACATCAATCAGTTGCCTCCTGTATATGCTGTGACCGGGGATCAAACATGCAACCCAGGTATATGCCCTGACTGGGACTTGAACCTGCGAGCTTTTGGTGTTTGGGAGAATTCTCCGACCAATTGAGCCACCCAGCAACCAGGGCTGACTTTTTTTTTTAATATACTGACAAGTTGCTCTAGTAACCCAAAGAAGTGAAGGAGAAAGCAGCTGCATCACCTCCCAGATATTGATTTGCTCAGATGTTTTAATGCCTGATGATACAGTAAAACCACACAAAAAATTTCTTAACAGTTTAAATTGTTTTCATTAGTTTAATAGTTGGCTGGGCATCAATAACTACCCTCCCCTGTTGGCTCTGTCATGTCTCATCCACTTACCTCTACCCCAGCTCAGCAATCAGCGCTCCCACTGGGCCTTGGGAAGTGAGCCACAGACAGGGAGAGCTCAAGTCTAGCCTGAAGCTTCCCTTGCACCGAAACTTCTGCAGTTCTGACACCTCTTGTGACCTCTACACTGCGTACAATCAGGACTCTACTAACACGACAGATGACCCAGAGTCCCACTGAACATGGAGAGGCCTTGGCAGGAACTGGCCCATCAGGTTCAGATCCTCTGTATAAAGAGCCTAGTAAGACCAAGTATGAGCAGAGATTTGAGGGAGAGGGAACTGTTCTACCCCCAGAAGAGTTAGGATCACCTCCAAGCCAAGAAGAGGGCAGCTCAGATCTCGTACCATCTGCTTCAGACATTGCTGAATGGCAAGTGCCCGGAACAACCAGACTCTAATGCCACAGATGCAGGCCTGGTTTCGTTGGAGTATAGATTTAGAGCTATGAAAGGCAATCTGAGTTTGAGGGATTTGGCTTTAGAATTTCTCACTCCTTAGACCTCTCTCTCTGCAAGCCATCTTTAGGCCTCCCTCACTACACACCTCACTGTCTTCAAATCCCAGGAAGTCTTAGCTACTGGAGCAGTTTATGCTCCTCAGTTTTTGGGATAGAGGACTTGCCCAGAGCAACTTGAGCCCATTAGCCCTGAGACTTGGTGGTGTAAACCTGGCGGCAAGGTAGCAACCACAGGCTAGAATCCAGGACTTGGGCTGGTACCCTGTTAGGGGTTTTAGAATTAGTGAGGGCGTATGATCCCAGGTCCTGGGATTTGTAGGTCTGAGTGCCTACAAATGCAACCAATCGGTGCTCCTCTCTCTCTCTCTCTCTCAGCCCTGGCTGGTGTGGTTCAGTATACTGAGTGCTGGCCTGTGAACGGAAAGCTCAACAGTTTGATTACCAGTCAGGGCACCTGCCTGGGTTGTGGGCTATGTCCCCAGTAGGGGACGTTGGAGAGGCAACCATTTGCACATCCATGTTTCCCTCCCTCTCTTTCTTCCTCCTTTCCCCTCTCTCTAAAAGTAAATAAATACAAATCTTTAGAAAATATAAATAAAAACCAAAAGTAAATGAAAATATCCTCAAGTGAGGACTAAAAAACGAAGAAAATCTGTATAAAGTATGGACTTTAGTGAATAATAGTGTATCAATATTGGTTAAAAATTCTAACAAAATATCATATTAATATAAGATGTTAATAATATTGGAACTGGACTGAGGTATATGAGAACTCTCATAGTATTTGTACTATTTTTCTGTAAATCTAAAACTTCCAAAAATTAAGCTTACTTTTAAAAAATAACACTTTATAAAGAGTCTATTTCTAGTTTTCCTGATAGTAAAGATAAAAGCCTTAAGCCAGTGGTTCTAAAACTTTAGCATACATCAGAATAACCGAGAGGGCTTGTTAAAGAATATTGTCAGTCTCCACCTCCAGACTTTCTGGCACAGGAGGTCTAGGGTGGGATTAGAAAATGCTCATTTCTAATAGATAACCCGGTGGTGGTGGTAATGGTGGTGGTGGTGGTGGTGGTGGTGGTGGTGGTGGTGGTGCTGCTGCTGCTGCTGCTACTTCTGCTCCAGAGACCACACTCAAAGAACTACTGGTATAAACCTAAGAATTAAAACAATGATGAACTCTCATGCCATCCAGCAGGTGAAGGCATTTGGGAAGTACTCCTTGGAAATTTTTTGGAGACCCTTCCAGAGCCCAGGAGAAGCCCTGTTATACTCTACCTTACCCTCCACCCTTCCTGCTTCTTCCTAAGGCTCGATAACTTAGCAGTACACTGGTGATATAGAAATGAATCAGACCAAATTGGCAGGGTATACAAGAACTCCCACTGTAGTGAAGGAGTCAGAGAGTAAAAAATTGTCAAACAAAATGAGAAACGTGGGTAAATGTTTGAGGAGCAAAGTAGAACTGGAAATGGCTTGAACATGGAGACTTTGAAAAGCTTCAAGGGTTAGGAGAGATGAACTTCAAGGTAGGGAATGATTTGAATGATTTAGAGATCACCAAAAGAAAGGGGCAAGGATATTCTGATCTAGCTGATAGCACAGGACACACTTGGGTGCAGGAGTATGACAGTTCTTGACTTTTCAAGAAATTTGTAAATCGAACACCTAGTGGAAGTCCAACAGTTTCCACTCAGGTATGTGCAATAGATAATTATCAATCCATTTTACAAAGGGAGCTCTGAAATGTTAAGTAACTTGCCCAAGCCAATCTAGCTGGTAAGCAGGAAGAACCAAACTGGAACTCAGAAGGGTCTCTCAGTCTGTCTGGTGACCGCCTCTCACACAGGTGTGCCCTCTACCTCCATCTGCAGCCTCAGATGACAGGTCCTATCCATCTGCCTTTTCCCAGCTAACTTCCTAGTTTCTTTTCTCAGAACTTCCGTCATTAACCACGATCGGATTCATGGGCAAGGGCAGGAGGCCAGAATCTCGAGATCTCTCGCACCACCACTTGCTGGCCCTGTGTAACCTAAGCCCGGAGATTTAAATCTTAGCTTTGGCATGTCCAGTCTTTTCCTCCAGGTTGCTGAGGATCAAAAGAGCATAGGAATGAGACTGCTAACCTGGCCCTAGAGCCTGAGCTGGGAGAGTTAATTCCTACCGCCTCCCAGCGGTTCCGAGGTCTCATCTCCCGGAGCGCCTCCCATTGGCCAAGGAGCCGGCTCGGTGCTGATTGGCTGAGGCTCTCTAGGCCCCCTTATTGGGCGCTGTGCACAACTACCAGAGTGTGGCGCCTTCTCCACAGACTACCCAGTGAAGCTGCTGCGAACTCCAGCAGCTCCCTGGGAACGCACAGTCTCCACTGGAATCCAGACTTCCGCGATCACAATCTTCTTGCTGTCCCGGAGACGCCACCAGATCTCCCGGATCCTTTTCCTGCATAACCTCCTGTTGTTTTTTTTTTTTTTTTTTTTCTTTTATCTTCCTTCCCAGCTTCCAGCTCAGCTCAGCATTTCCCTTCCATACGCACGGACCTCCAGCGGCCAGCTGTTCTTAGCATCCCACCTACAGTCCCCCTGATTTCTGTCCCTCTTTGACATCAACTTCTTCGACCAACAGAAGCCTGTCATAACCTTCTCACCAGACTCCCCTAATCTCTTCTTTCTTCTCTTTGCCAGCTCCTGACTCCCAAATCCAGCTAACCTTTGACTTCCTGACATTTGGTCCTGACACTCGACTCCGGAACCCCTAAATTCCTACCTCCTGAAGCCTGGACTGCTGAAACTGAGGTCTTTCCTGATTTCTGACCCCGTTTCTGAAGCTCATTTTGACTTTCTTTCTCTTGGGCCAGTTCTTGCTACCGCTACTCCACCATGGACTTCGTGATGAGTGGCCTGGCAGCCTGTGGGGCCTGTTTGTTCACCAACCCCCTGGAGGTGGTGAAGACTAGGATGCAGTTGCAGGGAGAACTGCGGGCCCCTGGCAGCTACAAGCGGCACTACCGAAACGTCTTCCATGCCTTCATTACCATCGGCAAGGTGGACGGCCTAGCTGCCCTGCAGAAGGGCCTGGCCCCTGCCCTGCTATACCAATTCCTGATGAATGGCATTCGGCTGGGCACCTACGGGCTGGCTGAGGCTGGAGGCTACCTGCACACAGCTGAGGGCACCCTCAGCCCTGTCCGCAGCGCAGCAGCTGGTGCCATGGCTGGAGCTATGGGAGCCTACTTGGGGAGCCCTATCTACATGGTGAGAAGAAGGGTTTTGCCTGGGGCCTCCAAGGCAGACATTTGGTGCGGGGTGGGGACCTGGGCCTTCATAACTGATACTGAGGTTGGAAGTGGATTTGTGTAGGGGTGGGCAAGGAACTTGAGTAATACACCTCAGTGAGTGTAAGGATCAGGAGCAGTCCTGGACATCACAGAGTTACAATCTCACAGTCAGCCCTTTTGAGTTATCCAGGTTATAGACCCTTTGCCTGAGGCTCAGAGAAGGGAAGTAACCAACTCAAGGTCACACAGCTGCTTATTGCTAGGACTAGGCCCTGCTTTGAGCTCCTCCTCACTGAGAGGAGGAGTTCTGAAAAGACGCTGAGAGGCAGTGAGTTCTGAAGGAGAGGAAGTTTGGTCTCCCTCTTAGGGTATGAGATTCAAGGATAGTAACCTCTACAAAGTCAGCTGAACCAGTGGCCCCACGAAGTTTTGGGGTCAGGTGCAGATGACCCCTCACCACCCACCAAAGTCTGATGGGGAACCTGACTGTGCTGGTGGCTGGGGATCCTGTCTGGGAATAAGTGCTGGCATGAGAGGCTGGACACCCAGGTGTTGCCTAATGTGAAGAGTCTTAGGAAATGTTGCCATGCTCTAATCTCTCCATCCCCACCTATTACCTACTCACAAGGGAAGGAGGCTGTAGAGGGGGTGGGGTATCTTGCTGTGATATGAGATCCATTCCCCAGGACTGGAGCCAAGGGACAGAATCTCGTGACCAATTCATTAAGTGGGAACAGTAATTATCAGATTAAAGGATATTCATTGTTGAACACCCTAGAGGAAATATGAGGGGTTCGGGTGTTTGGGTCTCTGAGGTAGAAGGATGGTCACTAGGCCATAGGTTGTAATACTCTCTCATCCTCAGGTGAAGACACACCTACAAGCGCAGGCAGCCTCAGAAATTGCTGTAGGGCACCAGTATAAGCATCAGGTAAGGAGTTTCCAACCCCACTGGAGTCCCTGCCATTCTCTCCCATACGGACCCAACTTTCTGCCTGCACCCAGCAGCTCCAACCCAGACAAGGCTCTGCCCAGCCAGTCAATTCAGCCTCCCTCTGCCCCTGAAGTCCACCGAGATCCTCTTTCTCACACGTTCCCCAGTTCCTCTAGTCTTCTGCCCATTTCTCCTGCTCCATTCTCCTAGTCTGCTAATGTCCTCACTTCCATACTCCCTAGTCTGGGATGGCAAGGGAGGAGACAAAGGGGTGGTAGACAACCAAAGGGCAACATTCTGGCGCTGAGCTCACACACAAAGGTTGTCCAGACATCAAATGCCTGTTAAGCACCCATCTTTAGCAGTGTTGGAAGATGGCAGCCCCTGATGCTAACATGACTAAACCCTTCCCCATGGTCTTCCCTCTACCAGGGCATGTTTCAGGCGCTAAGAGAGATCGGCCAGAAGCATGGTCTGGTGGGGTTGTGGCGTGGGGCCATTGGTTGCCTGCCCCGAGTTATCTTTGGTTCCTCCACCCAGCTGTGCACCTTCTCATCCACCAAGGACCTCATGACCCAGTGGGAGGTACTGCCTGGGAAATGGGTGGTGCCACCATGGGAATGTGGGCAGGGGAGTGCAGGCTGAACTGAGTCTTAGAGGGGTCAGTACCAACACTTAATGTTTTGGAGTCAGTACCAGCACTTCATGTGAGGGAGTGGCAGGAGGGTTGGGGATCACCCTCTACAGCCTTCCCACAGCTCTCATCATTCCTCCCAGAAGGTTTATGTGAGTCCTTCACAGTGCATGTCATCACACTGTATTATAACTGATAGAATGGAAGCTCCCTGAGTTACCAACTCTCTATCCCCTGTGCAGGATCTGCCCTTTCCTAGGAGTTGAATGATTGGCTGGTTGACAAAGCTCTTCCTTCCTTCCCTTAGATATTTCCTCCCCAGAGCTGGAAGGTGGCTCTGGCAGCTGCCATGGTGAGTGGCATTGCAGTGGTCCTAGCCATGACACCCTTTGATGTGGCCAGCACAAGACTCTACAACCAGCCCACAGACTCTCAGGGCAAGGTAAGGGAGTGCTCTGGGGTTCAGACAGGCAGGTAAAGCCAGAGAGGGAAGGGGGAGAGCAGATTTCGCCTGTAAGTGAGATAGCCCAAAAGGCAGCCTGCAGAAGTGAGGCCCCGGGTGGGCTCTGACAAACTCCTTCCCTATTTTCTCCCTCCTCCAACTCTCAGGGCCTCAAGTACCGGGGGATACTGGATGCTCTGCTGCAGACAGCTCGGACAGAGGGCATTTTTGGCATGTACAAGGGTATAGGAGCCTCCTACTTCCGCCTCGGCCCTCACACCATCCTCTCCCTCTTCTTCTGGGACCAGTTGCGCATCCTCTACTACACATACACCAAATAACAGTGATTCTTCCACACTCCACCAAATCAGCACTCCTTGGTCACTTCTGCCTCCATTACTGTATGTCCTGGTGACTTCTGACCAGTTGACCTTTCATCCATCTGAGGGGGACAGTTCATACCACTGCTCATCTGTTTTCTCAGGGTTGAATTACTACAAGAGAGTTTCCCTCCCTTCCTTGGGTGTCACTTTAAATGTACTCTACCTGCCCCCCTGTACATTTCACACCCTTCCCTCAGGGCTGAACCAGTCACTCCAAAGTGTATTTCCTCCCTTTCTCCACTGCCAGCCTTGGGTCCCTTCTGATCCCATGTACAACTTTAAACTCCCCCTTCAAGACCAAAGGGTACTGGGGAGACTTGGGGTCCTTTTAGATTCAAAGGCACAGAGATTATGTTGGTTATAAAGCAAGTTTATTTCTGCAGAGAAATGTCTTATGTTTATGCACAGGGAAGGAATTGGGGGGATATATCCAACCCTTTATTCCCCTTGAAGAATGGGTTCCCCAAGTCTTCAGCAGCATCATGTAGCATTTCAGCATCTTTACTGGGGACCAAAGATGTTGGGATCATGAAGAGTCAGACTGGTCACCAGCAGTTCAAAGTCACCCAGGCTCCAGGGAGGAAGTGACTGACTTTCAGAGCCAAGAGATGACCTATTGTCAGGGCTTGGGGGTGGGGGAACAGAGGGGAGATAACATCACCCAGGCCTCCTGTGTGGAAGCTGCCACTTCCTGATCCCTGGAGGCCCTGGGTATCTGTGACCCCAAACCTCTGGCCCACTCCTACTTCCTTGGAGGACCCCACCAGCCAGCCTCTCTGCTCTGCCCCTCTCAGCCAATTTTCCTGGGGACCCCACTCATGAGCCACATGCCCTTTCTGTCCTCCTTACGGGGGCTGATTGAAGGTGAGCAGGAGATCAGTCTGGTACCGAGGCAGTCGCAGCAAGGCCTGGTGCAGTGTTACGTCCTTTGCTACCTAAAAGGATCATCATCAGGATCCTTACCTGATGCCCTAGGGCCAGCCCCTTCACCCCTCCAGGACATCTCACACACCACTGGCCCTTACCTGCTGATTCTCTTTAGCTACCTGCTGCTTGCCAGAGAGGACCCAGGCTTCTTCACAGTAGCCCCTCAAGGCCAGGTTCTCTAAAAGAAGGGGTTGCACAGCCTCCACTTGAACAGTCCTAGCGTCCTGCACTCCACCAACGTCCTCAAAGTGGTACCTGGAGTGGAGGAGCAGGGTCATGGAGGGGCAACTCTCACCGCCACCCCACAAGCATCTTTAAGTTTGAACTTAACTCGCCCACTTCCGGTGATAGGTTTGCCCTCCGAGTTCTTGTACCCTATGTTAACGGTACAGCCACAGGCCCCACCCACTTTTTCGGATCCGGCCTTCCCATTGGCTAGCCACGGATCCTCCTCACCGCGCTGCCGCTTCTCCGTGCACGTGGGCCTGCAGCTCTAGAAGCTCCACGATCAGGCTCTGGTCGGTCAGGCGGTGGCAGAAAACTTCTTGATTATCTGGGACCGGTCGGAGGTCGCTGGAACGAAGCAAAGCAGGCCCTTCTTGACACTAGCTCATTTCCACCACCCACCCGATTGGCCTCCATCCGCGCTGGGGCTTTCTAACCTTACGTCAATGGCCCCGGTAGGGAGCGTGGCAGAGAAGGCGCCCCCGAACAGTGGATAGTCTCTTGTGGGCTCCATGGGTCTGGAACTAGAGAGATTTAAAGGAAACCTACATGAAGCCACGTGGCATCACCTCCATGGGTTTCACCGCATCCACTGCCACTGCCGTTTTTTCTTTGCTCCGGCCCTTTAAGATGTTGCCCCGCCCTGCGATCTCGCTAGCCCAACGGCGCCCGGCGCCCGTGCTTTCCGCTGTACTATTCCCGGAAGCCACGGTCTTAAGAGGGCGCAGGGCGGGACCGCGGGGTCGGCTAGGAGTTGAAACCGAGAATCGGGATTTGTGACGTGCTGTGGTTACTCACTTGCGCCTGCTAGTCTCCTCCTTTTAAAGGGGGCATACATTCTAAGAATGTCGCCTGAGACCCTTTTTAGGGGTCATTGCTCGTCCAAGTGACTGACGTCTAGGCGAGGTCTCTGAGTCAGAGGTGAATATCTTAAGTTACCCAGCTTCCTTCTCCAGCCCTCTTGACAGCGAATGGCCTGCCAACCAGATCGCTAATTCCGGATGGGTTGCGGGAACAATGGGACCAGGTGTAGGGGCAGGTTAGGATTCAGCCCTCACTCCTTCCGGAAAGCGACACCCAACCCAAGGATTATATGTCTAATCCTTCTCAAATCTTCACCCAGGGAATGCGGTCGGGGAGTGGGGAGGAGGTGCCCATACTGCCACACACACACCTGGAGGAAAGCACGGATTACACCCCCTATTGTGTTGTATAGGTTTTTAGAGTGTACTTAAAAGTTTTCGCTCAGTTATATCCTCCCAGCTAATTTCTCCATTCATCTTTGATCCCCAACACCTGGCAAAGGGTTTAGAGTAAAACAGACCCATTATGAACTGAGTGATTGAATAAACCCAATTCTGGAATTGACTCAGAAATACGGGCATCCTAGGGGTATTTTAGCCAGGAAAACAGCAGGAGCAAAGACTTAAAGATGAAAGAATATATTTGGGGAAATCCAAGTACAGACACCCCCCACCCCGACTTCCCCTGGTTCAACTTGATTTTTTCTTTTGACTTAATAATGGTGCGAAAGCCATGCACATTCAATAGGAACTGTACTGCAAATTTTCAATTTTTATTATTTGCTGGGCTGATATGCTGTATGATACTCTACAGAGTATTCATGATTAGATAATTTCCCCTCAACTGTAGGCTAATATAGGTGTTCTGAGCATGTTTAAGTTAGGCTAGTCTAAACTATGATGTTCAGTAGGTTAGGTATATTAAATGCAATTTTGACATGATATTTTACAATGGTTTTATGGGAGGTAACTTCCATCATACGCGGACCAACACCTGTTCTCGCTTTGACAGGGGAATGGATGGCAGGGAGCTGTGAATGAAGAGGCTTGAGAGGTGGCAATGTGCAGACTATTTATAGAGCACACTTAGGAGCTTGGAATCCTTCCTCATTTCTGATAGCTAGCATCAGACCTCTCAGCCTCATTTTCTCCCTCCAAAACATTGTTAGGATTAAAGGAGGCTGGATGAAGCTGCATCTGAATCTGTTTCTGGGCAAAGAGAGCGGAGAAATTCTAGAGAGGAGGAGAATATCGTAGACCCTGAAGGGAGAGAGGAGCCTGGACATGGAGAACCAAAGGAGCCCTGTCAGAGAGGTCTACCCCATGCTACTTCTCTCAGATGAGGAGTGGCAGACCTCTCTGTCTCTCCTTCCCCATTTCTGCTGGCCTGCCACCTGCCCCCTACTCACCAGCGGTAAATACCAGCTCTGGCTGCTTTGTGAGCAATCAAGCAAATAGCCCTTGGAGAGAGGCCTGCAAGGACGTAGATATTAACAAGGCCCTAGCACTGGACATAAGAGGTAGGGCCCTATTCATGGGCCAGGAGGAGGTCACACTAGATTATAGAGACTAAGGAGAAAGCTCTCCAACTTCCCCATTTTGGGGTCTCTGGCATGCCAGGAGATGTGCTCTGCTATGAGTCCTGTGCAGCTGGGGACTCCTGAATTCTTGAGCTCTTGGGACATGGGTTAGGTATGCCCTTCTAGGTGGTAAGAAGCAGACCTCCATGGAGTGAGGTGCAGGACCAGACCTCCTCTGGAAGAGTGGGGTTGAAGGCCACCATAACTTGTCAAATTTCCACTTTTCACTAAACTTCCTTCTCTCTTACCCTTCACCTCTCTTTTTGTGTCTGTCCCTTCTGAACCTCCCAACTGCTGACTCCCCCCATGTGTTCAAATTCAACTCCCCAAGGGACAGGATCTAACTGGGCTGATTAGTTGACATTCAATCTGAAAGTACCTATTTGGTCAGCTCTCATATTTAGCCACTTCCCAAACCATTAGCCAGACATCAGTGAGATCCCTGCTCTGGCTGGCTGCAGCTAGGATGATGAGTATCATGGGACAAATCTAATTGGCTGAGATTGCCCACGGCCACATTTCTCGAGGATGTGAGGGTATGTCAAGCTCTCAGCTCACTGGTTGAAGTAGGTCCACGACTGATCAATTCTGTGCCCCTGGGACATACCCTTATCCAATGCCCTACATGCAGTTAATACAGTGGTTTGCTTTGGGAACAGGTGTCCCAGGGCCTTTGAGGGCACCAAGAGGTAGACCTCCTGGACTCAGATCAGAGAGATGACTCAACACCCAAAGTCAAGCATCCCTTTGAGAAGAGTTAGAGCAACACATATTTTTATTAAGCAGAAGTGTTTAACCTTATTTTCCTCCATGCACCCCCTTGGCTTTTTGGTGAAGCCCCTGGACCACTACTCAGAAACATGTTTTTAAATTCATAAAGTAAAATAGATAGAAATACATAGAAAATGAAAATACTTCAATACAATCATCAAAATCAAAATCCCAGATTTTTGATACAGCAAAAATGTGCTTCTTTGTTATTACATTAACAAAATCCAGCTGCGGGTCTAACAAGTGTAATGTCAAACCAGCGATGCACATAAATCCTAGTTCAAGCAATCTGCAACGACTCCTACGTGGGGAGAAGATCAGCGCAGTTGTGACGATCTCAGGTCTGTAGGACATAGATATTAACAAGGCCCTAGCACAGGGCACGAGGGGTAGGGGGGCCCTATTCATGGGCCGGGAGGAGGTCATACTAGATTATGGAGAACCACTGCTGTGCATTGTTATCTACAGTCACAAGGTAAGGAAATACTAAATTTCGGTTAAGAAGTCACTGAAAATAAATGTAGTTGTTTTTTTTCCATCCAAGTTGTTGGAGCTTAAGAAACCCTGCTATAAACTGTGTGCCCTAGCTATACACTAGGCTCCTCAGGAGGATATAAAAACATGTAAAACATGGTGCTTCTTTCTGAGCCTCCAGCCTGAGTGAGGAGAGCAAGGGCATATGGTTCACTTTATAAATTTGATAGACATTAGTACCCCCAACTTTACATCTGAGGAAACTACCTCAGAATGATGCCCAGGGTCCTGTGACAATTAGTGATATCCACAGGAGGTTTCTAGACAAAGACCTGATATCATGAAGACAGCATTTGATGAAGACTGGTGCGTCCTTGTGTTTGGGATGATGCTATAGATAGCAGCCACTCAGAACCCTCCACATCTCACCATTCTTCCCTTCATACTCTGTATGCAAGGCCCTTTGAACTTCCAGTCAGCCCCTTGA